CGTAAATGAGCCAGTAACAAGTGGACTCAAAACGACTGGAGGCCAGACTGCCCGGCCAATAGATGATCCGGCGGTAAGTGCGTGGGTCAAGTTCCGCAAATCCGCCAATAAATAACCTGGTGAGTATTTGATTCAGAACGCAGTTCTCCGCCAATTAAAACGTTTTGCCGGAGACTTTTTCAGTAATTTCCCTCATGGAAGAAGCCGGTTTTCTATGACCCTTGAATTTGACAACATACGCTAGATAATACTCGATAGTAGCAAGATAGACAAAAAATTACAATAGTGCAATGTTATATCGTATAGACCGTGTTTCTTGAAATACTACTAGATTCATTTTTTAGATTAGGTGACTGTGAATGAGAAATATGAATTGGTCCATTGTTACTTTAGAGCACTCTCCAATTTGTGTGGAGAATAGATTTAGATATTAGACATCAAACGTGTATCTTGATATGCTAATCCTTGTTACTTTCTCTTTGAATCAATTCTTGGTTTTAATCCCTTCAAAGTTCAAAACTAATCTTCTATGTCAAAAATTGTAAGCCTTGATGAAATCCTACCAATATTCCTTTTTGTAGCCAAAGTGAATTGTCCAAGTAATTTTCTTTATCTCATTGCATCTATCATGTAAAAAGTTTAACATGCACATTTGGCAAACCTCGAAAGTTATCATCGACGGGGATTAATTATCAATTCAAAGTTAGTACAGTGAGATCTAAATTGACTCAATCTCGACTTCTTGAATCAATATTAGTCTAGCATGCAACAAACTATAAAGGTCTATCGATTGACACTACTTAGACAACAAAAAATGGTGTTAAAAAAAAAAAGGTTTAGTTCTAAGGCTACCATGTCACAGCCTAGTGTGTTTTATACACACACAAGTAAAAAGGAGGACTTGGAGAACAATAATAAAAAGATTAAATAAGTCAAAACGCCACTTTTATATAGCCTATTAACACCGTTTAATTACTTATAATTTACTAAGAATGCAAAAAGTAGTTGATCAAAAAAATGTGTGAATAATTATTAAATAGTAGTTTCTAATGTGTAATTAAAATTAAAATTTGATCAGAGATTATAAGTGCTAATAAGTTTATTCAAAGATATGAATATGTAAAAATTGATGTTACTACAAAAATATGACTCCACTATTTTAACTATAAAAGCATCTCCAATAAATTCTATAATTCAAGATACTTTTTATTTTGAAGGTCAATGCTTAAAATGAACTCTAAGAGACTCTGTCTTAATTTTTAAAAATATATCGCATTAACTTTTTAATTATATCGTATAATTAAAATCTAAATTTTAATTTCTATCAAATAGAAGGTAGAAAATAGAAATTGTGAAATGTGAAAAATTCATATAGACGTTTCTCTCTCTCTCTCTCTCTCTCCCCCCCCCCCTCTCTCTGAAGTTAATTAATTTTTTTAATTATGATATCATGAAAAGTTTCATAATGAAAACTCTATTACGCTAATTATTTATTTTTGGAAGTTAAAAATATGTAATGTATTGTAGCCCTTGTTTGATTTAGATTTCTTGAGAAGTAATTTTGTGAAAGGCAATTTTATTTTTAAGAATATGTGAATGTATGGTTAAAAAAGAGAAAAGTATTGAGTTCACGTGAAAATTATTTTATTTGTGAAAAAATCATAATATCAAAACAAGACCTTTATTAGTAAGATAAGAATTAACTTTTCAAAAAGGTATTTGCAAGTTGCACTAAAAAAAAAAATGTAAACTAACTTTATATATTTATGGTTAGAAATTAGTTAAAATAAATTTACTATTTGTTAGGCTTAAGTCAACGGTTTGTTCTACGCGTACACACAATTTAATTGGTTATAGATGATGCGACAATATTTGATTAAGTCAAAATTTTATCAAATAAATAAAAATAAATGTTTTTTCATTTTTTTTGACACATCAATTCTTGAGAAATTATGTAAATGGTAATGTGTAACAAGAATTTTCCTTAAGCCAAACATGCTCATATGTATATGAATGCACGAAATGAAGAAAAAAGAAGTAAGAAAATTAAAATATGTCTATGCATATTATTTTCAATAATAAATACTTAGTCCCCTTTTGATGGAGATTGAAATTAGATTTTGATAAAAGTTAATGAAATGTGTGGTTGAAAAATTGTTAGTTCCGAATTGCACAGAATAAAAAAGACAGAGAGCCTAGTTCTCTCCTCGATCATCCTCATTCTGAATTCTGAACTTTTTTATGCTTCTGTTTTTTTATTCTGTGCAATTCATTTTCTGGAAATAATATTCTATTTTTACTGTTTTGCAATTGTTCATCTGGTTTAGCAAGTCATTTATGGAAAATCTGTTTTGTATAACAAAACGAGAACCAACAGTAAATAGCCAGCGCAAAGAACCGGAGCCACGCTTGTTTTCGGAGGTATTGAAAGCTGATCCGCCACATAAGCGAAGGGTTCCGACGAAGGATAATCAGGCAATAACGGCAAGACCGATCTTGAACATGGATTCAAAAGAAAATAAGAACACTGATCAACCCTTCGTAAATGAACCGGTAACAAGTGGACTCAAAACGACTGGAGGCCCGACTGCCCTGCCAATAGATGATCTGGCAGTAAGTGCGTGGATCAAGTTCCGGAAATCCGCCAAAAAATAACCCGGTGAGTATTTGATTCAGAACGCGGTTCACTGCCGATTAAAACATTTCGCCAGATGCTTTTCCAGTAATTTCCCTCTTGAATAAAGTCGGGTTTTCTATGACCCTTGATAACGTACACTAGATAATACTCGATAGTAGTAAGATTGAAAAAAATTACAATAGTGCAATGTAATATTGTATAGACAGTGTTTGTTGGACTACTACTTAGATTCATTTTTCAGATTAGGTAACTGTGAAAGGGAAAATATGAATTGGTCCATTGTTACTTTAGGGTAGGCACTTTCCTAGTTGTGCGGAGAATAGATTTAGATTTTAGTCATCAAATGTGTATCTTGATATGCTAATCATTGTTACTTTCTCTTTGAATCAATTCTTGGATTTAATCCCCTCAAAGTTCAAAACCAACCTTCTATGTCAAAAATTGTAATAGTCTCGATGAAATCCTACCAATACACCTTTTAGGATACAAAAAGTGAATTGCCCAAGTAATTTTCTTTATCTCATTGCTTTAATCGTGTAAAATGTTTAACATGCACATTTGTCAAACCTAGTCGAGAGTTATCGTTGATGAGGATTATCAATTCAAAGTTAGTGAGTGAGATCTAAATCAACTCAATCCCAACTTTTTGGATCAATATTATTCTAGCATGCAACAAACTATGATGGTCTATCGACGCTATTTAGACAACAAAATGATAAAAAATAAAAAATAGACAAGGTTTAGATCTGAGGCTACCATGCCACAGCCTACTGTGTTTTATAAGTGACTAATAAGTTTATCTTAAAGATATGAATAGTGTAAAAGTTGATGTTAGTACAAATTATACACGACCTCCCTATTTTAACTATAAAATTATCTCCAATAAATTCTATAATACCAGATACTCTTTATTTTAGAAGGTCAATGCTTAAAATGGACTCTAAGAGACGTTTTCAATTTCAATTATTATTATTATTATTATTATTTTTTTTTTTTTTTTTTTTTTTTTTTTAAGAAAGAGAGTTGAATTTTTATAATGATAAAATTGACCTTGAAGCATCTATATCACGCTCAGGTTGAAACCCTGCTAGCTTTGAATTTAATAATCTACAATTTTTAATGCTCCATTTCTTAAATTATTTAAATCATATTTTTTAATTGGTTGAATATGACATCTAAAACTAAAACAATAAAAAATTGAGAAAAAAAAAATAATTTTTAAAAAAATAAAATAGATACTCCTTAAATTTTAGCCATGCTCTCCATTATACATAATGTCTTTGTAGTGAGTATTTTGGAGATGTTTTGAATTCTCCATTGCTTCGAATCAACTCTAATTAAATTTCAAATAGGCTTTTTTCACACTTATTGTATCTAAGATGAAGTTTTATTATGTAATTGACATAATTTACATAAATTTAGTAGCTAATAGCTCATTTAAATTTACTTATAATTTAATAAGGATAGAAATCCAATTAAGTGCATAATCTTTCAAATAACATGTGAAGTGCATATCCCACCTGAATTAAAGGAGCAGCAATGCAGCTGGCGTTACAAAGGGATGGTTTTGCAGCAGGTGATTTATTCATGGTTTCGCTGCTCGTCTCTCAATTTATCCTAAAATTAGACCAATCCATTGAAAAATGGTCGGCCTTTAATTCTTGCACACCAGGTGTTTGATTGAACGCCCTCAATTTATTTATTTATTTATTTTTATTTATTTATTTATTTATTTATTTTTTTTCTTAAATTATTTAAATCATATTTTTTAATTGGTTGAATATGACATCTAAAACTAAAACAATAAAAAATTGAGAAAAAAAAATAATTTTTAAAAAAATAAAATAGATACTCCTTAAATTTTAGCCATGCTCTCCATTATACATAATATGCTCTTTGTAGTGAGTATTTTGGAGATGTTTTGAATTCTCCATTGCTTCGAATCAACTCTAATTAAATTTCAAATAGGCTTTTTTCACACATATTGTATCTAAGATGAAGTTTTATTATGTAATTGACATAATTTACATAAATTTAGTATCTAATCGCTCAATTAAATTTACATATAATTTAATAAGAATAGAAATCCAATTAAGTGCATAATCTTTCAAATAACATGTGAGGTGCATATCCCACCTGAATTAAAGGAGCAGCAATGCAGCTGGCCTTACAAAGGGATGGTTTTGCAGCAGGTGATTCATTCATGGTTTCGCTGCTCATCTCTCAATTTATCCTAAAATTAGACCAATCTATTGAAAAATGGTCGGCCTTTAATTCTTGCACACCAGGTGTTTGATTGAATGCGCTCAAATTTTTTTATTTTTATCATTTGCACTTCTTTGGCTACATCCCTCCACTTTATCCTTTTTCTTTAATCCATTATAGAACAAGATCAGCCAATTTATATCTGGTTTTGATTATCATGATAAATTCATCTTGATTTTTGTTCTTCCCTATTGGAATTGAAAAGAGGATGGAAACAGTGGCATCTCCATCACATGATCAATCAAAGATTGCAATGAGATACCCTCAACCAAATATTGGATATCATCATAATAAAGGTTATGCAAATTCTGTTAATCCAAATCCTTATCCCCAATCATTTGATGAATACTATTATCAGCAAACCTATAAGCCTTTGGTACCCGAACCGAGTAGGACTACTTCGATCGGTCATGCAATGATCTACCTGTTGATTGTTTTAACTTTTGGAATGTGCATGTTGAGCATAGTCATTTTTCTCCTGTTTGGCACAGACCAGCCAGATTTCCACATGGTTTCATTGACCGTGCCAAATTTTAACGTAACTAACTCGTCCCTAATAGCGAGCTGGTACGCGAATATTACTGTCAAGAATCAGAACGAAGCTTTCAAAGTTCAGTTTCAGCATGTTGTATCTTCAATCTTCTATGAAGAAGATATGTTGGCAATCTCTCTTTTGCAGCCTTTTCAAGTAGAGACAAAACAGACACTTGGTATGAGTTTCCTTGTGACAACAGATCCATCGAATCAAGAGAAATTACACGCCAGGGTGTTCCCAAGTATTGTTCAGGATCGAAGCACTGGCATCGTAACTTTCAGCTTGAGACTGTTTTTGAAGGCCCAGTATAAGTCTAATACGCTTTGGAAAAAGGCAAGTTTGAAAGTTATCTGCAAAAATTTGCAAGTTAGCTTTTCGCCAACTGGTGAAGGAAAATTGACAGAAGATTTTCCCAATGAGTGCATACTTTTTACGCGATAGCCTTGTAAGTTTGATGATTTATTACTATTCATGTTTAGTATCTTGAACATTACTTTATGCGATTAAAGAACGTATTCGTGTCAAATATATGTCTATAAACCTGTTCAATAATGTCTGGTCCCATTGTGAATGTAACATTCCTAACCTATATATGTCTTTCTATTTTTGCAGATCGAATGCCAAGAACGAGCTAGGAAACGCAAAAGTTTAAAGCCCTGGATTCATAGAATACTTGGCTTGATAGTACAGTCAATTATCATTCATTGAAAAGCAAGCCTTGAATCTCCAATTCTCTTCATCAATAGGATATAAAAAGTGTATCAACGCGTACTTATATTTTGATGACTTGAAAGAATGCCTTAAGCTTGATTGGAAAGGTCTTACATGTCTACTCATCAATAGTTCGCCGTGATCAGACACGATTTTGTCTCGAATCCAGATGGGTAGTCGGGCCCTAATGAGTTTATTTAGTTGAGCTAGTTGCATGATTTGTTTACATTTACATTGTATAGTAGCTCAGTAAATTTGTTAAATTGTTGATTTGTGCTAGTCCGATCTGATCACACGACCCCACATCACGAGAAGGATCCGTAATCAAGAATTATTCAAGTATGGATTTCTAGTCAAGGGTGTCAAATGGATCGAGTTACCTACGTTCTAGCTGACTTGGCATGCTTAGGCCTGGCCTCGAGTAGGGCAGGACTTGAAACAGGTTGTGTAGTGGATGGACAACCTGTTCAGTCATTATATATAAAGTCACACATTTGTGCAATTAAGTGGATGCTTGAAATTTGAAGTTTGATTTTACCATTTTTTCGAGATATTACAAATATAATCTTTCAAAAAGAAAAGGCCCTTTATTTTTGTCTTTGCATCATTACACTAGATTTTGTAATTTTGGACCCTTTTCTTTCTTTTTCATGTCCTTTTTGCCCTACTTTTCAACTTCAAACTTTTTGGTTGCAATAATTTCTCTTCAATCAATAGTCATCATATCCGTCTCCTTTCGACAAATTGTATCTTACTTTAAGGATTGTGTATTTTTGAAATGCACCAAACCTCCACACAATTAATCAATATTATTGAGAAATAAAAAATGAAAAATAATGACTACGTGTATGGGTTGTAAATTTTGTCATTAAACCTACAAGAAAATGCTCAATTAAGGATGTTAAGTGTGATGAGTCATTCACTGGCTCGCGTTCAAGTGAGCCGTGAGCACAAGCTGAGCAGTGAAATCATTGTACGAGTTGGCTTACAAACCGAGTAAGCTAACTTGAATGAGAATTCACCAGTTTGTCCAGTTGTGCAGCCATGCAAAATGCAGGGTTTCAAGGCAAATTTTTAAATTTGAATTTTTTTTTATTTTTGGAATTCAAGTCTACAAATAGGGATGGGTATAAATCATCTTCGTCATATTTTAAAATTTTCTACAATCTCGTTAATATATTATGCTAATCTCTTTAGCATTATAATTTTATAATAATTTCCTTTATTTTAATTATTTCTGTAATTTCAACTTTCATTTATCAATTATTTCTATAGCACAACAAAAGATGAATTCTCAAAAGCACGTCAATATCAAACTAAGCCTTATATTTTCTGTGTAATTTATATTCTCAATATGTAGCCAAATAGGTAGAGAGAATGATACAACGTCGTCACCTTCTATGGCTTTGTCATGTATTGAATACGATGTATGAACCTATTTAATTACGATTATTACAGAAATTTCATCATCTCCTCATTTTTCTTTTAGTACTAGTAATATAGAAAATGAGATTTCTTTTGAATTGGCTAGATGTTTTTCACACTATAATCTTATTATGTTAAATAGAGAAGAGATAAAATTTTGATCTTCTTCAACAATGACGAACAAATGAAAAATAATATCTGATATTATATTTGATAACATGTGATCTACTAACGTCCCTAATATCAATTGTAGAATCGGAGGTTGCATTTAGTAGGATTCTACCAAATAAAAGAAGTTGATTGAAAGAAGATATATAAAATATATATGCGACTCTAATGTGCTTGAAAAACTAGCAAAATGAAAACTACTAGATACAAAAGAAAACAATAAGCGTAATTGCTGAAGATTTTCAATAATTATAACTTTCACGAATTTTCTTAGGTAAACTAAGTTTTATATCTATTGTTGTATATTGACATTTCTTTTGTTATATTTGAAAAATAAACAATGCACGAAAAATTGATCCGTGTACAATTTTATTCCACTTAGGTGTTGTAGATAGTCTCAAGTTCAAAAAAAGGGAGGGTTTTTATTACTTTATAATTCATTTGACAAAATGGAATTTTCACAAATTCATGTCTTCATTATACCTCGAGAGTGAAAAGTATACGACTCTATTTTTTATCTGAAAAATAAAATAAAAATAAGAAAAAAGAGTCACGAGTGGTTAGCGAGTCCGCATGAGTCGCCCACAAAGGGACGATTCTGAAATTTCTTGAAGTGACTCAATTTCGTGATTGACTTGTTCCATTTGTGAGAATGAGCTTGTTTGCTAAGTCAGCCGAGATCGATGATGAGTGAGACGAGCGGCTCGAGTCGAAGCACTTAACACAGATATGCTCAACGTTCAGTTGCATAATTGGCTAGCTTTAGTTAATTTGTTTACTATCAAAGAAAGGTAAACAATCAACAGAAGGGATTGACGTATCAATTCACGAACTTTAGTGAATTTGTACTTTTATCAACAAAAAGTTTGTATCAAAGTTATTCATGTACAGGTTTGATTGAGATAAAAAATTAAATTTTAGTAGATTTTGATAACAGTTGATGAAAATGTGTGGTTGAAAAAGATTTAAATCTTATGAAATATGTAGTTAGAATTAATTATAAATTTTGATTTAATTTTAATCTATTTTTTTAATTGAACCAAACAACTTAACGTTATTTTGTCAACATAAGCATATACATGAAAGAACTATTGACATGAACTAAGGGTCCGTTTGATTACAAGAATGAAATTTTGGTGGAAAGAAAACGAAGTCCAAGAAATTAAATTGCCTAGAATTTGTTTTTCTGGAATTGTCAATTAAATGTGTTTGATTGATATAATTTTTTACCTGAAAATGTTGAAATTTTAGATCTTTTGGAGTTCGTTTGACTTTATTTTCTATGAAAATTGTCAATTAAAGGGATATAATTTTTTTTTCAATTGTGGATAAAATTCGTTCCAATTGCCAAAAAAAAAAAAAAAAATGTGGCTGGAAAACCGATTCCCATGGGTTTGGTGTGGGAATTGATTTTCCACAAAATCAAGGAAATTACACAGGTGTGGAGGAAGAGATGGAAATGGAATTGCCAAGAAAATTTTGCAATCAAACAAACTGAAAAGGTGAAAAACAAAAAATGTTTTCCATGAAAAATTGGGCAAATCAAATAGGCCCTAAGTGATACTTTAATAGTGAAAATGTAAAGCACCCATTCTAAAGAGATTTTTCTCTCTTTCAACTCAAATTTGTTAGTCATATTTGGTTTGGCTAAAAATCAAATTTTAATAAAAATGAATTATATGATTAAAAATTGATAAGATTGTGAATCTGTTATATGATAAATGAATTTAAACAAAAATAAAGTTAAATTAAATAAAAAAATAGTCCAAATAGGAGTAATTATTTAAATTAAGATAGATAAAGCCAAACAACTCACGAGAATGATCGTACCGATGATCGTGCATTCACATGGATGTGTGCGTATGTGATCATCATCGATGTCAAACCTGATGTTTGTGTGGCACGGTTGATTAAGATATATGGAGCCTGTTTGGGAATGATTTTGAGAATTGATTTTTTGATCGTTAGGAGAAAAATGGAGTCCACCTGTGAGAGAAGAAGTCAAATATGACGGCTGAAATAATGAAATAATAGTCAAAAAATCAATTTTTTGAAAGAAAAAATCGCTCCCAAGTCCCAAACAAGTCCATGTGCATTTTAGCTACTTGTAGGTCATAGGTTTCTCAAACTACAAGGATGATATTATAGGGGCAATTTTAGGAAAAGTAACAAAAGTAACAGTTCTCTTGTCAGAGGCCCTCTTTGGGATCCGGTGAAGTACTGAATATCCTTGGCTTCTTACTTATGTGGGCCCCTATTTACTTGGACCGACGGTCATGGTTCATGAACTTGGATCATCATAAAATAAATTAGGCCCCGTTTGAGGTGCTATTTTTTAGAAGAGTAAGTTTTTGCATAATAATTCTTTGAGAACGCGTAATTAAAAAGTGAAAAAATTTAAAAATTATATAAAGAATATTTTATTATGAGAATGCATAATTAAAAATAAGTATGTAAAAACAAGTTTAAAAAAAATAATTACCAAACATGGCTTAAGATGCTAAGAAAGTTTCTTGGGATTTGATCACCGTTAAATTAACATTTTTACGAATTTTAAAGAAAATCTAAAAATATCATGCCATGCGCATTGACCAAAATAGTCATCTAACGTCCTAAAACGGGTTTTGAAGAGAATCCAATCACTTCACCCTTTCAAAACAATTGTGGTCCACACACATCATTTTCTTAGATTTCACTTGCATTATCACCAAAATTTAGTCCCATTTGATCCCCATTTTCTGAAAATGAAAATGGAAGGAACAATATTTTTTAAAAAAAATAAATAATTAAAAAACAAGGAAATTTTTTCAATTTATGTGTAATTATAATTTTATAAAAGATTGTGTGGTTGAAAATACGGAAGAAAAAATGAAATGTAATGAAATAGAATTTAATGGAGACCAAACGGGGGCGATAAAATTCTATACATCACGCACCTTACGTTGCGATAAAATATTTAATATCGAAATAAACATGTATATTAAGTTATTTAGGCTCCATTTAAAGAGAAAAAAAAAAAATTTATTTTTTTTTATTTTCAACAACACACTCTTCACTATAATAATATTATAAGTATATTCAATTTTTTTTTTTTTTTTATGACCACACATTCTTCAAAACTTCATTTTCAAAGTATATTTTCTCCAAAATTCAATTATAATGGAGTTCAAATAGAGGATAAGTAAATACTAAAAATATAATATGTTAATAATAATGAAATTATACAATTTCAGATATTTTTCTCACATGGGAGATTAACATATATAGAAATATTACAAAAATGGTAATCAACTTATTGATCAATTGACAAGTTAGTCCTTAACCTTTCATTATATCCAAGGATAAATAGCAAAAAACCCCTTAGAAATGTTTCCATTTACGATATATCCCTTATCTATTGGAAATCGCAGAAACTCTCCTTGTTTGAAACCTTTTGTGCAAAATCCTACCATTAAGATCCGTCAAATTTGTCATTATAAACAGTAAAAAAAATGCCAAAATTAAAAGAAATAATTGCAATTTCAATACCCCAACTTTATACTCTTTTACAAAATTTACCCAATTTTTTATGCGTACCATCCACAATCCCAAATCTTTAAAATTTATTTTTCAACCTGCCCCACTTTATCTTCTTCCCCAAAACTTTATTATTCTATTTTATACCTTCCGAAACCCTCCTAAATCCCTCACCCCAAATTCCTCATTTCTTCTTCTCATTACCAACTTTAAAAATGCCTCATATTGCATGGGAAAGAATCAAACGAAATCTAAAAAAAAAAATTAATAATAATAAATAAAAAATTAAATAAATAAATAAATAATAATAATAATAATAATAATAATAATAATAATAATAATAATAATAATAATAATAATAATTAAAATAAAATAAATGAAGAGTCCGATTAAAAGTGAATAAAAGTTCTGAGTCTTATTAAATGTATGATTAAAAACAAGTTTTAAAAAATGGAGATATATGAGAACTAAATATGTCCATAACACTATGATAATGGAAATTATTGCCAGTATGTACTTCGAAGTTCATTCCCGGTTATTATTTATTAATAATTATTAATTAAGTAGTATGAAGTGAAGATTGTTGTTCATAATTTTGGTTGTGTTATAGGTACATCATAACTTACAAATTTATTTACCTACGAATGCTGTGACAAGATTTGATTGAATAAAGGATTTTACTACATGTACATAATGAATTACATAATATGATGTGGACGGAAAAGATTGTATAAAAAAATTGATTATATTTTAAACTGACAAATGTTAGAGTATCACGTGGCATTATATAATCTATTATTTAAATTTTTGACGTACATGTAACAAGATTCTTGAATCAAAACTTCACCAATCAAATAAAAAAATAATTATCACCTCGTCAATATGTAAATGGTAGTGAACAACAAGTATAGGTATTTACTTCATAATTTCGCATATAAAGGTACCCAATCCGCATCGCATTCCAGTCCATTTTCTCTTAGAAAAAAAATCCTCCCCAACCCTCCAATAAAAGCTCCACCCCTTACCGCCGCCGGAAGCATGGCAGAAAAGTCTTTCAGCCAGAAAAGCAAGAGGCGAAAGCTCATCCGGCGGTGTATCTCCTGGCTTCTCATCTTCGGCTTCATCCTCTTAGTGATCATTCTCCTCGTGTACGCCATTCTCCAGCCCAAGAAACCCCGTTTCGTCCTCCAAGATGCCACCATCTTCAACCTCAACGTGTCGGCAGCCACCCCAAACATCATCTCCGCCACCATACAGGTGAGCATCTACTCCCGGAACCCGAACGACAAAATTGGCATTTACTACGACAAAATGGATGTCTACGCCACCTATCACAACCAGCAAATCACTTCTTTCACCGCCATCCCGCCGGTGTACCAGGGCCACAAGGACGTGAACCTATGGTCCCCTTTTGTCCATGGAGATAACGTGCCGGTGGCGCCGTTCAATGGCTTGGCCCTGAGCCAGGACCAGACTAATGGGGGCATACAGATGGTCATCAAAATTGATAGCCGCGTGAAATGGAAAGTTGGGTCGCTTGTCACTGGCCGATACCACCTCCACGTCAGCTGTCCGGCGTATATACCGCTAGGAAACAACAAGAACACCGGAATATGGATCGGAAATACAGTGAAGTATCAACTTTCACAGAGTTGTAGTGTGAGTGTTTGATGTTAAGATGAATTGTACTTTTTGCAGATAAAAACTGCAAACAGATGAAGGTTATCCTAAAGCAAAATGACAATTCTGTAATAATTGTTTGATGATTAGAGTTAATTATATGAAAATTCGTTTCATGTTTGTTTCTTTCATTTAGGGATGTAGATTTGGTTTGACGACTCGTGCAGCCCATGGCTCCGTCCGTGAAAAGCTCGAACCAGCCGGCTTGTGGCTCGAAGGCACCGAGCCACATTTTGGGAAGTCGGCTTGAGCTTGGGCCAACTGGTTTTAAAAAAAAAAAAAAAATGACATAAAAAAAATTATAAATATATATGGGCGGCTATAAAGCTACCTGTTGAGGCAGCTATGAAGGAGGCAAAAAATTCGAGCCGAATTCTTGAGCCGAGCCTCGATTTTTTAGCCAAGCTTTTGCTCGATTCGGTTCAAACCAAAAAAAACTCAACTTAAAAAAGTTCGAGCCGAGCTCGAGTTCGGCTTGTGAGCTGACTCGTCTTGACTAGACTTGGCTCGGCACAACTTGTTAACACCCCTACTTTCATTAGAAAAGTCAGAAAAAAGAAAAAGCGATGTCTTCGCATAACAAAACTAGACTGAATTGCTTCGATAAAAATTATAGAAGAAAGAAACATTAAAATATTTTCCATTATATGGCTTAACTGTTCAACGTCTTCTCCTGAAAGGATAGTCAATTTTTTTTCTAAAAAGCTTTAAAATCGAAAAAAAATTAATTTGTTGTGGAACACAAAATCGAGTGTAACAGTAATTTTCAAAATGAATGCGATAGTAAATTATTTCATAAAGTGGCATATCGATTGTCAATTAAAGTATAGTGGACGGTGTATTGGTTGTTGCTAAAGACAAAATTTAACTCCACTTCAAGAGGAAGAATACAACAAAAAGAGATTGGATACCTATAATACAAGAGAAAAATACATAGTTCGACAGCTAATATTACACGATATTCTTCGCAAAGATGGCCCAACAACGTGGGTGTGATGGAAAATTAATAACGTCCACCAAATTTACTTATAATTAATTCATAGTTGAACGACTGTCACTTTACGAACACAAGCAATATTTACAAGGTTTTGACAAGTGATTTGTCTACTCTACGTACAGTCTAAGTCAAGTAGAGCTTTAAAGAGTCAAATACTAACACGACTATTAGAAAAGATGTCAAGAACACAAGCAATATTTACAAGGTTTTGACAAGTGATTTGCCTACTCTACGTATAATCAAGCAGAGCTTTAAAGAGTCAAATACTAACACGACTATTAGAAAAGACATCAAGAATCACAAGCAATATTTACAAGGTTTTGACGTGTGATTTGTCTACTCTACGTACAGTCTAAGTCAAGTAGAGCTTTAAAGAGTCAAATACTAACACGGCTATTAGAAAAGATGTCAAGAATCACGATTAATCATCTTCAACGATGTTTATTTAATAATAGAAATTAAATCAATAAAGAATTATTCGCTTATAAATTGTTAAAAGTATATGAAACTAGCTACCGACTTGTGACGACAAAAAAAAAAAGGAGAAAAAAAAATTGTCACTATCAGCCATTAGAAACCACCCACCATGTTTGTCACGGAAAAGATACTCGAAAATAATTCTCACAAATGGTAGGTTTGATATTTTATTCTTCGTGTCTGGATATTCTTAAATCTCCACGTCTCTATGTAAAAATAATTGCATTATAGAAAAGGACATAAAGAACTGCCCGCCTTTCATGACCTTATCTTCCTTAGTGAATACAGTCCACTTATTAGAACATGCTTAACCTAATCCCGGTCAATTCCGCCATTCCTATCTATAAAAGTATCTCTGGCTCTTGACCAGAGGTGTAGACAGGGGGTGAAGGAACGGTAGCCGCCGGCCCCACATGGTTCTAAATTTTGGGTATCTAACATTTCCCATCGACTTCGTCAGTCTAGATGGGTGGTTCATGGAATGTTTGGGTTTCATTATAAGTTACTCATAATTTATAAAATCAAAGACAAATATTGATTATAATTATAATTATTAATTTATTATCCATATATTTCTTAAATACAATAGTCATCTCATTATAAAGGGATTGTAATGAAATCCAAACTTAAATCAATCTCTTGATCACTTGTAGGCCATGCAAACTTACAACGATCAAATAAAAATATGAAAGTTGGATAGTTAAAAATAATATTTTCTTCGTACCATAAAGATAGTTTTATTTTCATTTTTATATATCCCAAATTATAAGTCACCTTTTTTGTTGAGGGTATAGTTGGTTTTTTAATTTGTCAATATATTCCTATTTAATGTGCTTTGTCATCAAGAAATATGAACTTTTTTTATTTAAATTATTATTTAATGTAAGAGCATATTTAGAAAAAAAAAAAAAAAG